CTCTGTGCGGCTTTTCAGATGGATATTTTAGTGACTAAATTATGTCAGTTTACAGAGGATTACGCTTAAAAGAGCTTTGAAAATTCGCCAAAGAAACCGTACAGGCACACATGAAACCATATCTACAGGAAATAGTAGTGACCTGTCTGTGATAGGAAAAGGTGTTGTGTTTTTGTTTTTTGTTTTAAATTGGGTATCCAGATCCTACAGCACATTGGGGAGGGAGAGAAGATAGAAAGTCTGTTACGAATGACAGAAAGTAAACTTGAATTCCTGTAAAAATGTCATGATGGAAACAACCCCCCCCCCCCCCCTGGCCGCAGTAACTTCACTCCACATGCACACCAAAGTCCTGAAGACACTGGAAACAGGAAGCTAAATTATCTAGCGCAGAGGTGGGCAAACTACAGCCCACAGGCCACATCTGGCCCACGGGACCATCCTGCCTAGCCCTTGAGCTCCCGGCTGGGGAGGCTAGGCCCTGGCCCCTCCCCTGCTGTCTCTCCTCCCCCGCAGCCTCAGCTCTCCATGCCGCCAGCGCTCTGGGCGGCCAGGCTGTGAGCTCCTGCCGGGCAGCATGGCAGGCTCCGGTTGGGCAGTGCAGCTGCCAGTCCTGCCACTCTGAGTGGAATGGTAAGGGGGCAGGGAGTGGGGGGGTTGGATTAAGGGGCAGGGAGTTCCAGGGGGCAGTCAAAGAACAGGGAGCAGGCAGCAGTTGGATGGGGTGGAGGTTCTGGGGGGAGCAGTCAGGGGCTGTTGGATACGTGTGGGAGTCTCAGGCAGCCTGTCAGGGGACAGGGAGCGGTTGGATAGGCCTGGGAGTCCCGGGGGGCCTGTCAGGGGGTGCGGGTGTGGATAGGGGTCAGGGGACAAGGAGCAGGGGTGATTGGATAAGAGGTGGGGACCTGGGGGGGGGGAGGGAGTTAGGGGCAGGGGGTCCCGGGGGGGGGAGGGAGTTAGGGGACAAGGAGCAGGGGGGGGTTGGATGGGTCTGAGGTTCTGAGGGGGGCAGTCAGGGGTAGGAAGTGGGAGGCGGTGGATGGGGGTGGGGCCCAGGCTGTTTGGGGAGGCACAGTCTTCCCTATCCGGCTCGCCGTACAGTTTCACAACCCCGATGTGGCCCTCAGGCCAAAAAGTTTGCCCACCCCGATCTAGCGGATGTACTGGAAATACAATCCAACTTTGGCTATTTGGTCAAGAAGAATATTTTGGTAAAAACCTGTATGATGAATGAAATATTCCAAATCACCTAATCTTATGACAAAATAAATGAATGGCAACATATTTACTGCAACAAAATGGTGTATAGTTTTATGTAGCAAAATGTATTAAACCAACAAGTTTAAATACATTAATGAATTTTAACTTGTTGTGCAAAATTAATTCTCAGTAAAGTCAACATGAGTGAAGAGACTATATGTACCCCAGTTAGGAAGCTGGGCATGCACCGGAATTTAAATTTCATTGCTTTTGAAGGGGCTCTGGGCTGGAGGTGCTGGCTCTCCCCTGGAGGAGTTCTGGGCCCCCACTGATTATTGTGTAGGGGGGGGGAGGGAGTGTGCCCCTGCTTGCCCCCCATTGTGCATGCCCCTGAGTGACATACATCTTTGGTATACTAGTATCTCAGGAGCTTTTTTGGACACGAGATATACTGATTTCTCAGTGTGTGGTTATATTTAATGCCTTGTTCTGCCTTTCTCTTCTAGATTAGAGAGCCCTTTATTACCCATGCAGGTACTTATTCGCTGTTATCAAGTAATGTATCAATCTTTTTCTGATAAAATAAACTGATTGAATCCTTTAAGCCTCTCACTACAAGGCATTTTGTTTTCTTTCTTCCGCAAATGATTTAATTTTTCAGTTTATATTCCAGGTGGAAATTCCATTCCAAAATTTCAAAGTTAAGTGTGTAAGATAAATGTGCTGAATTTGTACTACTGTGTTTACATTTTAGTTTAAGTGTTTGTTTGCAGGATCAGGCCCTTATTTTCTAAATAGAAGTGACTAAACATTCAAAAGGTACTGAGGAAGCACATACTGTACCTTTAAAAATATTGGCCTCCATGTTTTAAAGTACATTTACTTTCTTGGGGTTTTATGCTTCACAGCCTGTTGGTTGTATTCTGGTTTTAGGTTCTAGATCCACAACTTCCTGAACACCAAGTATTTGTTGCAATTGAACTTCCAAAAAAGGAATGGGGGGGGAGAGAACAAAAAAAACCCGTGGTGCTAGCTTTTCCCTTAAAGAACAGACCTGTGAAATAGATCAGTGATGATCACTGCCAGATTTATTTCTGGAACGTGAATGTGAAACTCTTTCTTCTAAGTAGCAGAGTGCTAGTCTAAATGTCATAGAAAGGACACTCATTTCAGACTAAGAATGATCATGTATTCAGCATGCAGCTGTCTAGACAGCAAATCTGCACCAAAAAGATAGCTATGTCAACACACTCTGGTTTTGAAGTGCATTTATCAGGAATAAGGCATGGTGAGCCAAGTACATAATGCATCAAAAATCACTGTCTGATATTTCATAAGAGAACAGAAGTATTGCTTAGTAATGGGAATCTTATCTCTCTGGCATGCAGATTCCTTCACCACTTCAGATGTCCTTTGCATGGTAGGGTGATTTGGTGGGTTGGCGATTTTTTTTTTTTTTTTTTTTTTGGGTGAGATGTCCAAATAAGTAGGCCACCCCTCCTAGGGTAGCAAAAGTCTGAACAAATATAAATCTGTTTTCCACCCAGTATATTCATTTAGTCACAGAACTCCCTTTGGGGGTGGGGCCTTATCTTCTCCATTTTCCTGGAGTGTAACACTACTTCATTCGGTCTCTCCCTCTGGTCTAAGTCTTCCTCTTTTTAAGCTCCACCATGCTCTACCATGGCTGGAGGCATTTCCACACCTCTTCTGTATGGTGTATAATCTATAGCTTTCAAAAATCATACATTAGGCCCCAAAATCAAGAGAGAGATTTTTTTTAAAGTTGGGTTTTATTTGCCTTCTGGGTTTTGAGCTGTTAAGCTTTTTGTTTTCAAGCTTCTCTCTGCAATTATGAAAGCTATAAACTTACTTTTTGAAATTAGAAGTTGAGATTCTGACATTCATTTGATTCCCAGAACTGTGGCTTTAAGAAAAACACTAGCTATCACATGACTCTCAATAAAATCATGTCGGTTGGCAACCCTCCCTCTATTTTAGGCTCTCTGTAGCTGCTGTCCACTCCACCCAAAAAATAATTCCTGCTTCACTTATCTCCAAAGCACTTGCTTGCCATCCTTCTAGGCCTCCTCCCCAACCCTTTCCTCAATCTTCTTCCAGATCGGTTTCCTCAAGAGCCTTCTCCATCAGCTCCCTTCTATGGGTTTCTTACTTGGGTCTCCCTCATGCTGAGTGGAGCATAATAGCCCTGCCCCTCTTTCCTTTTCCTTTCCTACCCTCCCCTTCCCTTTTTTATAGACTTCTGTCATATGACTCTTCATGCAACTACAAGTCCCAGAATGCCTGTCCTTAAAGAAACCAGGGGCCAGTAAAAGATGTTACCTCACCCACCTTGTCTCTCTAATATACTGCGACTAACACAGGTACAGCTATACTGCATGTCCTTAAAGAGTCAGAATAGGATGGGCTGGACCTATGCCTGCCTTTAAAAGAATAACTTGCCCTGTGACACCACACACACACACACAAAACTCCTTCTATGGGAAAGCTATTTAGGGCTAGAAAGTTTCAATGTATTGTTTTAGCATGATACTAAATGCAGGAGTCTGAACGCTTCCTCAGGCTGAGCTAGTTTCCATCTTTAGCTTTGTTATCTTGAATTTTGTGAAGTGCAATGATGCTGATAGTATACATTGTAGCTTATCTGACATTTAACATTAAAATTATGACAAATTTTGAGTTAAGAGGGTTATTGTGTCTTCAGGATAATTTGCTGGCATAACTTATTTTGTTAGGCCCTCATGCCATATTTTGAGCACTTGTGCCAAATATTATGTAAGATCGTATGCCACTTACCCCAAGCAGGTCCATATAATGCAATAATACCATATAATAAGATAAATATAGTTTTAGAGGGACTTTCCCTTGACAGTGGGGATTCTGACAGTTCACCTGAATGGAAATCTATTTGTGACCAAAAAAAACCAAAACCAAAACAAACCTTAAATGGGCACTAATGCATTCTAATTAATTTAATGAACCACTGAGGTACCACAAGTATTCTAGCAAGAGGCTCCCACAAAAAGTCTGTCCCCCTTTCCAGTGATTAAACCCAATGTATGAGGGAGGAGGGTAGAATTCTGCAGAGTATGGGCAGAGGGACTGAATTATCTATTTGTTTTTTTCCTATTTAAGCAAAATTCCTCATCACAACCATAACTAAGGAGGGAGACAGCATCACTAGGCAAACTTTTATTACAGGGGTCTCAAACACACGGCCTGTGGAGTTATTTCCTGTGGCCCACCATAGGTGCCAACTCCACTAGCAGCCAGGCTCCCCTCCCCCGGCCCACCGAGTGCGCTGCTCCTCCGCCTACCTCCCAGTACTTCCTGCTGCCAAACAGCTGTTTGGTGGTGCTTAGGACTTTCCGGGAGGGAGTGGGGAGGAACAGGGACATGGAGTGCTCAGGGGAGGAGGCGGAGAAGAGGTGGGGCCGGGGCAGGGATTGGAATAGGGGCAGGGAGGGGGCAGAGTTGGGGCAGGGACTTTGGGGAAGGGGTTGGAATGGGGGCTGGGAAGAGGCAGGGCCTCATGGAAGGGGTGGAGTGGGGGTGGGGCAGGGGGTGGCCTTTAACCGAAGTAATTCTAAAAGTAAATGCGTGTTTTGTCATTTGAGTGAAGTGCAGTACTGAGTATTTTATAGTTTATTAAAATCCCGCTTCTCATTACACTTTTTTAAAAGTTAATACATTGACTTTTAATAGCATACTATATTATTTATTTATTTTTACTATACTTTTGTATCGTTGTATGAAAAGGTTTCAGTGATGCAGCCCTTGGGCCAACGTACTAGTCCTCAGGTGGCCCTCATGGTGACTTGAGTTTGAGATCCCTGCTTTATTAAGTGTCCTTCACTTACAATGGTTGTACTTTAGTCCTGAAATACTGTGGGTTCTGATAGTGTTGCACAATGTTCTGCTTCTGCAGTTTGATTTTTTCCTAAAGGGATTAGTGAGACTGTCCGGGAAATGGAATAGTACGAAAAAAGCCACACTGCATGTCCTTAAGGATACTAGCCTGAGTGAAAGGATATAATAAAGAACAAAAAAAACCTTAGCTAAAAATGACTGAAGCAAGTGGATGTCATAGCCTTGCATGATGAAGCTGATGTGACACAAATAAAGATCAGCAGCTTGTTCAGTGTGTACTATGCCTGCAGCTGCACTTGTGTTTGTTCCAGCCCTGCTCCAACCTGCTTCCAATCCAGCTTCAACTTGCTACTAGTCCCTGTTCCAGTCCCTATTCCCTTCCGCTTCTGACTTCTGGTTTCAATCCCCAGCTCTGTCTCTGGCTTATGCTTCTGGTTGACCTTCCGGCTCTGACATTTGGCTTCTATGCCTGTAACACTGACCCTTGGCTCATTCCTGGACTCTACTCACCCTGGATCCAGCTGTAACCAGCAGGGAAAATGCTCATTTCAACCACTAGGCCTGACCACTCCAAGGCCTGGTTGGCTACAGTATTATCATCTGCACTTTACAGATAAACACTCTGTGCCTCAAGTCTCTCAGCCCTGGTCTACACTAGGACTTTAGGTCGAATTTAGCAGCGTTAAATTGATGTAAACCTGCACCCGTCCACACAATGAAGCCCTTTATTTCGACTTAAAGGGCTCTTTAAAATCGATTTCCTTACTCCACCCCTGACAAGTGGATTAGCGCTTAAATCGACGTTGCCGGCTCGAATTTGGGGTACTGTGGACACAATTCGATGGTATTGGCCTCCGGGAGCTATCCCAGAGTGCTCCATTGTGACCGCTCTGGACAGCACTCTCAACTCAGATGCACTGGCCAGGTAGACAGGAAAAGAACCGTGAACTTTTGAATCTCATTTCCTGTTTGGCCAGCGTGGCAAGCTGCAGGTGACCATGCAGAGCTCATCAGCACAGGTGACCATGATGGAGTCCCAGAATTGCAAAAGAGCTCCAGCATGGACCGAACGGGAGGTATGGGATCTGATCGCTGTTTGGGGAGAGGAATCCGTGCTATCAGAACTCCGTTCCAGTTTTCGAAATGCCAAAACCTTTGTCAAAATCTCCCAGGGCATGAAGGACAGAGGCCATAACAGGGACCCGAAGCAGTGCCGCATGAAACTGAAGGAGCTGAGGCAAGCCTACCAGAAAACCAGAGAGGCGAACAGCCGCTCTGGGTCAGAGCCCCAAACATGCCGCTTCTATGATGAGCTGCATGCCATTTTAGGGGGTTCAGCCACCACTACCCCAGCCGTGTTGTTTGACTCCTTCAATGGAGATGGAGGCAATACGGAAGCAGGTTTTGGGGACGAAGAAGATGATGAGGAGGAGGAGGAGGAGGTTGTAGATAGCTCACAGCAAGCAAGCGGAGAAACCGGTTTTCCCGACAGCCAGGAACTGTTTCTCACCCTAGACCTGGAGCCAGTACCCCCCGAACCCACCCAAGGCTGCCTCCTGGACCCAGCAGGCGGAGAAGGGACCTCTGGTGAGTGTACCTTTTAAAATACTATACATGGTTTAAAAGCAAGCATGTGAAAGGATTACTTTGCCCTGGCATTTGCGGTTCTCCTAGATGTAGTCCTAAAGCCTTTGCAAAAGGTTTCTGGGGAGGGCAGCCTTATTGCGTCCTTCATGGTAGGACACTTTACCACTCCAGGCCAGTAACACATACTCGGGAATCATTGTAGAACAAAGCATTGCAGTGTATGTTTGCTGGCATTCAAACAACATCCGTTCTTTATCTCTCTGTGTTATCCTCAGGAGAGTGAGATATAATTCATGGTCACCTGGTTGAAATAGAGTGCTTTTCTTCAGGGGACACTCAGAGGAGCCCATCCCTGCTGGGCTGTTTGCCTGTGGCTAAACAGAAATGTTCCCCGCTGTTAGCCACAGGGAGGGGGGAAGGTTGAGGGGGTAGTCACGCGGTGGGAGGAGTCAAAATGCGACCTTGTAACGAAAGCACATGTGCTATGTATGTAATGTTAACAGCAAGGTTTACCCTGAAAGAGTGTAGCCACTGTTTTATAAAATGTGTCTTTTTAAATACCGCTGTCCCTTTTTTTTTTCTCCACCAGCTGCATGTGTTTCAATGATCACAGGATCTTCTCCTTCCCAGAGGCTAGTGAATCTTAGAAAGAAAAAAAAACGCACTAGCGATGAAATGTTCTCCGAGCTCATGCTGTCCTCCCACACTGACAGAGCACAGACGAATGCGTGGAGGCAAATAATGTCAGAGTGCAGGAAAGCACAAAATGACCGGGAGGAGAGGTGGCGGGCTGAAGAGAGTAAGTGGCGGGCTGAAGACAGGGCTGAAGCTCAAATGTGGCGGCAGCGTGATGAGAGGAGGCAGGATTCAATGCTGAGGCTGCTGCAGGACCAAACCAGTATGCTCCAGTGTATGGTTGAGCTGCAGCAAAGGCAGCTCGAGCACAGACTGCCACTGCTGCCCCTCTGTAACCAACCGCCCTCCTCCCCAAGTTCCATAGCCTCCACACCCAGACGCCCAAGAACGCGGTGGGGGGCCTCCGGCCAACCAGCCACTCCACCACAGAGGATTGCCCAAAAAAAAGAAGGCTGTCATTCAATAAATTTTAAAGTTGTAAACTTTTAAAGTGCTGTGCTTAAAGTGCTGTGTGGCATTTTCCTTCTCTCCTCCACCACCCCTCCTGGGCTACCTTGGTAGTCATCCCCCTATTTGTGTGATGAATGAATAAAGAATGCATGAATGTGAAGCAACAATGACTTTATTGCCTCTGCAAGCGGTGATTGAAGGGAGGAGGGGCGGGTGGTTAGCTTACAGGGAAGTAGAGTGAACCAAGGGGTGGGGGGTTTCATCAAGGAGAAACAAACAGAACTTTCACACCGTAGCCTGGCCAGTCATGAAACTGGTTTTCAAAGCTTCTCTGATGCGTACCGCGCCCTCCTGTGCTCTTCTAACCGCCCTGGTGTCTGGCTGCGCGTAACCAGCAGCCAGGCGATTTGCCTCAACCTCCCACCCCGCCATAAACGTCTCCCCCTTACTCTCACAGATATTGTGGAGCACACAGCAAGCAGTAATAACAGTGGGAATATTGGTTTCGCTGAGGTCTAAGCGAGTCAGTAAACTGCGCCAGCGTGCCTTTAAACGTCCAAATGCACATTCTACCACCATTCTGCACTTGCTCAGCCTGTAGTTGAACAGCTCCTGACTACTGTCCAGGCTGCCTGTGTACGGCTTCATGAGCCATGGCATTAAGGGGTAGGTTGGGTCCCCAAGGATACATATAGGCATTTCAACATCCCCAACAGTTATTTTCTGGTCTGGGAATAAAGTCCCTTCCTGCAGCTTTTGAAACAGACCAGAGTTCCTGAAGATGCGAGCATCATGCACCTTTCCCGGCCATCCCACGTTAATGTTGGTGAAACGTCCCTTGTGATCCACCAGAGCTTGCAGCACTATCGAAAAGTACCCCTTGCGGTTTATGTACTCGGCGGCTTGGTGCTCCGGTGCCAAGATAGGGATATGGGTTCCGTCTATAGCCCCACCACAGTTAGGGAATCCCATTGCAGCAAAGCCATCCACTATGACCTGCACATTTCCCAGGGTCACTACCCTTGATATCAGCAGATCTTTGATTGCGTGGGCTACTTGCATCACAGCAGCCCCCACAGTAGATTTGCCCACTCCAAATTGATTCCCAACTGACCGGTAGCTGTCTGGCGTTGCAAGCTTCCACAGGGCTATCGCCACTCGCTTCTCAAGTGTGAGGGCTGCTCTCATCTTGGTATTCATGCGCCTCAGGGCAGGGGAAAGCAAGTCACAAAGTTCCATGAAAGTGCCCTTACGCATGCGAAAGTTTCGCAGCCACTGGGAATCGTCCCAGACCTGCAACACTATGCGGTCCCACCAGTCTGTGCTTGTTTCCCGAGCCCAGAATCGGCATTCCACAGCATGAACCTGCCCCATTAGCACCATGATGCATGCATTGGCAGGGCCCATGCTTTCAGAGAAATCTGTGTCCATGTCCTGATCACTCACGTGACCGCGCTGACGTCGCCTCCTCGCCCGGTATCGCTTTGCCAGGTTCTGGTGCTGCATATACTGCTGGATAATGCGTGTGGTGTTTAATGTGCTCCTAATTGCCAAAGTGAGCTGAGCGGCCTCCATGCTTGCCTTGGTATGGCGTCCGCACAGAAAAAAGGCGCGGAACGATTGTCTGCCGTTGCTCTGACGGAGGGAGGGGCGACTGACGACACGGCTTACAGGGTTGGCTTCAGGGAGCTAAAATCAACAAAGGGGGTGCCTGTACATCAAGGAGTATTTCAGGCAGGACTTCACGGAGGGTTCCAATAAGAAATGGTGCACCTAAGTTATCGTTCTTATTGGAACAAGGAGGTTAGCCTGGCCTCTGATTGATACATGGCTAGATTTACCTCGCTGCACCTTCTCTGTGAGTGACTGCAGTGTGACCTAGAGGAATGAGTCCCCTAGACAGGGGAGGAGGCAAATGAGTACAAAACAAATCTGGTCTATTTCTTGTTTTGACCCACTCCATCTATCTTTTACATCTTTGGCTGGCAGCAGACGGTGCAGAAGGACTGCATGCTATCCACATCTCATGGCTGCTCGGCAGAAGATGGTACAGTACGACTGCTAGCCATCCCCATCTCTTGCCTGCCTGGCAGAAGATGGTACAGTATGACTGCTAGCAATCCTCATCTCTTGCCTGCAAAGATGGTAGTAGACGCTAGCCGCTCACCATAAGACGGTTCAATAGGACTGACTGCAGGACTAAAGAGAATGACCTGGTCAAGTCACTCCAAATTTAGTCCCTGCGCCCATGTCTGCCCAGGCGCTCCTTGGACACGACGAGGACAACTACCAATCGTATTGCACCGTCTGCTGCCAGAAGGCAATGGGTTGCTGCTACTGTGCAGCAAAGCCGTACCGCGTCTGCCAGCACCCAGGAGACATAGGGTGACGGTTACCTCAGCGGGCTCCATGCTTGCAGTGGTATGGCGTCTGCACAGGTAACTCAGGAAAAAAGGCGTGAAATGATTGTCTGCCCTTGCTTTCACGGAGGGAGGGAGGGAACGGGGGCCTGACGATATGTACCCAGAACCACCCGCGACAATGTTTTAGCCCCATCAGGCATTGGGATCTCAACCCAGAATTCCAATGGGCAGCGGAGACTGCGGGAACTGTGGGATAGCTACCCACAGTGCAACGCTCCAGAAGTCGACTCTAGCCTCGGTACTGTGGAAGCGCTCCGCCGAGTTAATGCACTTAGAGCATTTTCTGTGGGGACACACACACTCGAATATATAAAACCGATTTCTAAAAAACCGACTTCTATAAATTCGACCTTATTCCGTAGTGTAGACATACCCTAAGTGACCTGCCCAAGGTCTGGCAGAATCAAGAACTGAATCCAGAGCTCCTGAGTGTCAGCCTAGTACCTAACCCACAGGCCCTCTCTCCTTTCAATCTCTCCATGCTTCTCTGTCACAGTTGACAGTATCACTGTTCATCCTGTCACTCTTTCTCAGGCCCACAACCTAAGGGGGGTGAGTGTGTGGGGGCAGTTTCTTCCTTTGTTCTTGCCCCTCAGTTCTTGATCCTTTTTAATCTATATTGTTTCTTTTTAAATGGTTACTTACGTTGTCTGGTTTATTATGTACATGGGTCACTAGAGGTAGGAACCACTGCTCCCAGTTGTGACCAGAGTCCAAAATAGTGCAATATCCATACAGACAATCCTATTGCAGAATCACGGTTGCTATGATTTAAAACTGTTTTTTCTTTCACTATAGGTCGGTCAGTCTATCTAATCTATTTGTATTTATCTGCCGCCCCACCCATTACTATTGTATCTGAGTGCCTCAAAAGCTTTATAAAGCATTTACCCTAACAACATCCATGTGAGGTACTAGTATGCCCATTTTACAGATGGGGAAGTGAGGCACAGTGACTTGTCCAAGATCACACAGGAAGCCTGTGGCAGAGCAGAGGCTTTAACCCTGGTCTCCCAAATACTAGGCTATAGCCCTAAGCACTGAACCACCCTTCCTCACGAGCATCAAGGTCTTGTAAGTATCAGAGGGGTAGCCGTGTTAGTCTGTATCCACAAAAACAACGAGGAGTCCAGTGGCACCTTAAAGACTAGAAGAAGTGGGGTTTTTTTTACCCACAAAAGCTTATGTCCAAATAAATCTGTTAGCCTTTAAGGTGCCACCAGACTCCTCATTGCTTTTAAGGTCTTATAAGGTCATTGACAAACAGTCCTCACAGCATAAGGAAAGCTGAGTTTCCTGTATAGCAAGTGGGCCTAACATCTTTATGATATGTAAAGAGAAACCAAGCAATGCTGCAATTTCTCAGGTTTTTCTTCTATAAAATGATTGGTTTGGCTGAAATCCTCTCTATTTTAACTTCAGGTGATCTATAATGTACAGCCACTTAAAATTCTACCAGCTAATTACATTTCTGTGCAATGGCTACAGATTTTCTGTTCCCAAGTCTTCAGCCACTATACTTAAAATGTTCTCACCTGTTTCAAGTGTCTGCATGTACAACAGCTCCTTCCTGTGGAATGAACTTGAGTGGATTATCATTCCAATATGTATCTATGGATTCTAGTAACTGTATTTTTATTATTTCTTAGGCAACCCATTGAGTCTCACTATGGGAGTTGTGGTAGTTGATGATGCTCCATCTGGTGTCAAAGCCCCTGACGGGGGTTGGGGCTGGGCCGTTCTCTTTGGAGGCTTTGTCATCACTGGATTTTCCTATGCCTTTCCAAAGGCCGTTAGTGTCTTCTTTAAAGAGCTTATCCGGGAGTTTGGTGTTGGATACAGTGACACAGCATGGATCTCCTCCATTCTACTGGCTATGCTTTATGGAACAGGTAAATAGTATCTATTTTTAAAACCGTGTAGTCTAGAAGGAAAGGTCTTATTTGTCTGTTTGCTTCCCAATGTGAATCTTAAGTGCCCACAGTTAATCTGCATGCAAAACAAGCATTCTGAAAAAAATTAATTATGGGGCAACATATGAATTGTCAGTTCCCTGGGTATATCCATCCATGTCTATAATGTAACTTCCTTTTCATCCTCCTCAGTAGAAGAAGATAGTTGCACAGCACTCTGAAGCTGCAAAGTGCTAAGCATGCATATCTCTATTGATTTAATCTATAGATTTGCATTTCTTCCCTAAGCATGGGAAGAAATGCAAATCTATAGATTAAATCATAGAATATCAGGGTTGGAAGGGACCCCAGAAGGTCATCTAGTCCAACCCCTGCTCGAAGCAGGACCAATTCCCAGTTAAATCATCCCAGCCAGGGCTTTGTCAAGCCTGACCTTAAAAACCTCTAAGGAAGGAGATTCTACCACCTCCCTAGGTAACGCATTCCAGTGTTTCACCACCCTCTTAGTGAAAAAGTTTTTCCTAATATCCAATCTAAACCTCCCCCACTGCAGCTTGAGACCATTACTCCTCGTTCTGTCATCTGCTACCATTGAGAACAGTCTAGAGCCATCCTCTTTGGAACCCCCTTTCAGGTAGTTGAAAGCAGCTATCAAATCCCCCTCATTCTTCTCTTCTGCAGGCTAAACAATCCCAGCTCCCTCAGCCTCTCCTCATAACTCATGTGTTCCAGACCCCTAATCATTTTTGTTGCCCTTCGCTGGACTCTCTCCAATTTATCCACATCCTTCTTGAAGTGTGGGGCCCAAAACTGGACACAGTACTCCAGATGAGGCCTCACCAATGTCGAATAGAGGGGAACGATCACGTCCCTCGATCTGCTCGCTATGCCCCTACTTATACATCCCAAAATGCCATTGGCCTTCTTGGCAACAAAGGCACACTGCTGACTCATATCCAGCTTCTCGTCCACTGTCACCCCTAGGTCCTTTTCCGCAGAACTGCTGCCTAGCCATTCGGTCCCTAGTCTGTAGCTCTGCATTGGGTTCTTCCGTCCTAAGTGCAGGACCCTGCACTTATCCTTATTGAACCTCATCAGATTTCTTTTGGCCCAATCCTCCAATTTGTCTAGGTCCTTCTGTATCCTATCCCTCCCCTCCAGCGTATCTACCACTCCTCCCAGTTTAGTATCATCCACAAATTTGCTGAGAGTGCAATCCACACCATCCTCCAGATCATTTATGAAGATATTGAACAAAACCGGCCCCAGGACTGACCCTTGGGGCACTCCACTTGATACCGGCTGCCAACTAGACATGGAGCCATTGATAACTACCCGTTGAGCCCGACAATCTAGCCAGCTTTCTACCCACCTTATAGTGCATTCTTCCAGCCCATACTTCCTTAACTTGCTGACAAGAATACTGTGGGAGACCGTGTCAAAAGCTTTGCTAAAGTCAAGAAACAATACATCCACTGCTTTCCCTTCATCCACAGAACCAGTAGTCTCATCATAAAAGGCGATTAGATTAGTCAGGCATGACCTTCCCTTGGTGAATCCATGCTGGCTGTTCCTGATCACTTTCCTCTCATGCAAGTGCTTCAGGATTGATTCTTTGAGGACCTGCTCCATGATTTTTCCAGGGACTGAGGTGAGGCTGACTGGCCTCTAGTTCCCAGGATCCTCCTTCTTCTTCCCTTTTTTAAAGATTGGCACTACATTAGCCTTTTTCCAGTCATCCGGGACTTCCCCCGTTCGCCACGAGTTTTCAAAGATAATGGCCAATGGCTCTGCAATCACAGCCGCCAATTCCTTCAGCACTCTCGGATGCAACTCGTCCGGCCCCATGGACTTGTGCACGTCCAGCTTTTCTAAATAGTCCCTAACCACCTCTATCTCCACAGAGGGCTGGCCATCTCTTCCCCATTTTGCGATGCCCAGCACAGCAGTCTGGGAGCTGACACCTTGTTAGTGAAAACAGAGGCAAAAAAAGCATTGAGTACATTAGCTTTTTCCACATCCTCTGTCACTAGGTTGCCTCCCTCATTCAGTAAGGGACCCACACTTTCCTTGGCTTTCTTCTTGTTGCCAACATACCTGAAGAAACCCTTCTTGTTACTCTTGACATCTCTGGCTAGCTGCAGCTCTAGGTGCGATTTGGCCCTCCTGATATCATTCCTACATGCCCGAGCAATATTTTTATACTCTTCCCTGGTCATATGTCCAACCTTCCACTTCTTGTAAGCCTCTTTTTTATGTTTAAGATCCACTAGGATTTCACCATTAAGCTAAGCTGGTCGCCTGCCATATTTACTATTCTTTCGACTCATCGGGATGGTTTGTCCCTGTAACCTCAACAGGGATTCCTTGAAATACAGCCAGCTCTCCTGGACTCCTTTCCCCTTCAAGTTAGTCCCCCAAATCAATAGAGAAATTGGATTGTTCTGAAAAAAGAAAAGGAGTACTTGTGGCACCTTAGACACTAACCAATTTATTTGAGCATAAGCTTTCGTGAGCTACAGCTCACTTCATCGGATGCATATTGTGGAAAGTGTAGAAGATCTTTTTATATACACACAAAGCATGAAAAAATACCTCCTCCCACCCCACTCTCCTGCTGCTAATAGCTTATCTAAAGTGATCACTCTCCTTACAATGTGTATGATAATCAAGGTGGGCCATTTCCAGCACAAATCCAGGGTTTAACAAGAACGTCTGGGGGGGAGGGTAGGAAAAAACAAGGGGAAATAGGTTACCTTGCATAATGACTTAGCTACTCCCAGTCTCTATTCAAGCCTAAGTTAATTGTATCAAATTTGCAAATGAATTCCAATTCAACAGTTTCTCGCTGGAGTCTGGATTTGAAGTTTTTTTGTTGTAATATCACAACTTTCATGTCTGTAATCGCGTGACCAGAGAGATTGAAGTGTTCTCTGACTGGTTTATGAATGTTATGATTGTTCTGGTTACTGTATCAAGCATATTCTCATTCCCCTTGCTCAGGTCCCCTGTGTAGCGTGTGTGTCAATTGGTTTGGCTGTCGTCCAGTCATGCTGGTTGGAGGGCTCTTTGCTTCGCTTGGGATGGTGACCGCTTCTTTCTGTACCAACATCATTCAGCTCTATCTCACTGCAGGTGTCATTACAGGTAAGTAAGTGTGGGTGACTGACAATATGCAAGTTAGTTCCATCTCCAATTCCAATATCCGCACTGGTATCCATGGCAAACACCTAAAGCATTAGATCCCCCAAAAATAGGCTTCTTTGAAAAGCCTAATTCAACCTGGAAGGAACTAGTCAGATTAGTTCTAACAAATGTTAACCCTTCTGTTGTGTTAGCCATTGCGTGCAGAACTAATATTATGATGGAACATTTTTAATGGTTTTTGATTATTCTGGAATCGTTCTTCCAGTTGACTTAGGAAAAGCCTGACCTTTTTCTGTCCGTATTCGTGAATCAAAGAATGTTGTAACTGTAGAGATTTTTATATAGACACTGTAGCTGAGGCCTGACTTGTGTGTGCTCTCTGTTTCAGGTTTGGGTCTGGCACTCAACTTCCAGCCATCGCTCATCATGTTAAATCGCTACTTTGACAAACGACGCCCTTTAGCTAATGGGCTTGCTGCTGCTGGAAGTCCTGTGTTTCTTTGTACCCTCTCTCCTCTGGGGCAAATACTGCAACATGAGTATGGCTGGCGAGGGGGATTCCTTATACTGGGCGGAATGCTGCTCAATTGCTGTGTTTGTGGGGCATTAATGAGGCCTTTGGAGCCTCCTAAGAAATCTGAAGCTGCTAAAGAACTTACTGAGAAGAAAACCAAGAAAAAGCTTCTGGATTTCAGTGTCTTTAAAGATGGTGGTTTTTTAATCTACACTCTGGCTGCCTCCATCATGGTGCTGGGCCTCTTTGTGCCTCCAGTCTTTGTGGTGAGCTATGCCAAGGATTTGGGATATCCAGACACCAAATCAGCTTTTCTTCTGAGCATTCTTGGATTCGTTGATATCTTTGCCCGGCCTATTTGTGGAGTGGTAGCTGGTCTGAAATGGGTCAGACCACGCTGTGTCTATCTCTTTAGTTTTGCTATGATTTTTAATGGTTTTACAGATCTCCTGGGTTCCATGTCTAACAATTATGGTGGCTTGGCAGTCTTCTGCATTTTCTTTGGCATTTCCTATGGAATGGTAGGCGCTCTTCAGTTTGAAGTTCTCATGGCTATTGTTGGTACTCAGAAGTTTTCCAGTGCCATTGGCTTGGTGCTTCTGGCTGAAGCTGTAGCTGTTCTAATTGGTCCACCATCAGCAGGTAAATATTCCATTCAATTGAGTTAACACCATTTGTGGTGGTCAACCAGTGGTGCCTACTTTATGTGTTGTGAGGCAAGAAATAGAAAGCCAAGTAACATCAGTCACCCAAGAAGTAAACACCATTGATTTAATGATGCATATAATCACATGACTTATTGCTATTAGAATCAGAGATGGGCCTAAGCCAGAAAGTTCACAACTTTCTCTAAAGTTCAGAACCGTTTGGTTTTGGGGGTTTGTTCAGGTCCATCTCTGAAATCTCTCTCCCTACTTAAAAACCTAATAGAACAGTTCTACCTCCCCATAGGGGATTTGAAGGAGGAGGAAAACTACATGAGGTGAATAATTGATGTCATGAAAAAAACTCTCATAAAGAGGGATTGAAAAAATTGGGATTGTTCCCTCAGAAAGGAGACAATAAGAGCTGATGTGGTAAAAGTATATAAAATAATGAATTACATAGAGAAGGTAGATTGAGAGCTTCTGTTCTCCCTATCTCATCATACAAGAACAAAGAGAAATTAAAAGGAAGTGAGAAGTGGAAAATTCAAAACTGATCAAAGGAAACTTATTTTTTCACATAACACTTAATTAGACAGTGGAACTCAATGTCACAGAATGTTGTTGAGGCCAAAACTGAGTCAGATTCAAAGATTCTCCCCATGAAGGTGCTCTGTTTGGGGAAGGTACTCCAGCCCCACGTTGCATTATCCTTTTATGTCTAATGTCCTCCATCCATCTCTTCTTCTCTCTTCTCCCCCCACCCCCCGACTCCTTTGCAAGCCTATGCAGAATGCTCTGCACAGTCCTGCAAATTAAGTGACCGTGACATATTAATTTTTGAAAAAAAAATATGGTGGTGACTTCATGCAACATAACCTCACTCTACAATTATTTTATTTGTAAGGTGTTTTTGTTTTTGTTTTGGGGGAGTGGAGAAGAAAGAGTATCTATTCTTTAATTTAGTCTCTCGTAAAACCAGAAAACCTTTCCAAGCAGCTGAGGGCCCAGTCACCACTTCAATAATACTCCTACCCTGAGTCCACCTGAATTTAATTGAATTAAGAAGCTGAATTGTGAGTCAGTTCTGTGCTCCAGATTCTGCTTACTAAGTGAAAGTGCAATCTAAATGCATATGAAATGCAGCACCTGGGTGGAAGGGAAAATGCTATCAGGAGTGAAAAGAGGCAGGAATAAGTAGTACAGTCTTTATTTGCCCATGCAAATAGTTTATTTTGAAAGTTATCAATAGTTGCCTTGTGTCATGGTCAGCTCTATCCCAGCTTATTATGATTGTTTTGTGTGTGTTGCTTTGCAAGTTTCAGGACATTTTAAGCAATTCAGTAGATTTTAAAGTTGACATAATGAGAGCATTCCTAAACCCTATTCTATAAGCTGAAAAAGTGTTAAAATACTCTCCCAAAAAGTATATTTATGTTTGATGACAACAAAAGTTATTTCTGTTAAATGCCTTAAAAATGCATTTACTATAAAAACACAAGCATCTACAAATTTTTGAAGCATATTTTTAAAAGCCAGTGTTCTCCCTGTTTGTGCCTACATATTGGAGCCACATAATTGTAGGAACAGCTTCTGACACACGGATGTATGAGATTATGATTACTGAAACAAGTTAGATGTCTTCAAATCACCAGGACCTGATGAAATGCATCCTAGAATACTCAAGGAGCTAACTTAGGAGATATCTGAGCCATTAGCAATTATCTTTGAAAAGTCATGGAAGACGGGAAACATTCCAGAAGACTGGAAATATAGTGCCAATCTATAAAAAGGGAAATAAGCTGACTGGTCTGTAATTCTCCGGGTTGTCCTTAAGTTTGTACCCAGAAAGATAATAGAGCAGATAATTAAGCAATCAGTTTGCAAACACCTAGATGATAAATTGATAAATAACAGCACAGATTTGTCAAGAACAAATCATGTCAAACCAACCTGATAGCTTTCTTTGACAGGGTAACAAGCCTTGTGGATGGGGAAGTGGTAGACATGGTATAGCTTGACTTTAGTAAGGCTTTTGATACTGTCTTGCATGACCTTCTCATAAACAAACTAGGGAAATATAACCTAGATGTAGCTACTGTAAGGTGGGTGCATAACTGGTGGGAAAATCGTTCCCGGAGAGTACTTATCAGTGGTTCACAGTCATGCTGGAAGGACATAATGAGTGGGGTCCCGCAGGGATCAGTTCTGGGTCTGGTTCTGTTCAATATCTTCAGCAATGATTTAGACAATGGCATAGAGAGTACACTTAAAGTTTGCGGCCAATATCAAGCTGGGAGGGGTTTCAAGTGCATTGGACGATAGGTTTAAAATTCAAAATGATCTGGAGAAATGGTCTGATGTAAATAGGATGAAATTCAGTAGGGACAAATACAAAGTACTCCACTTAGGAAGGAACAATCAGTTGCACACACACAAAATGGGAAATGACTGCCTTGGAAGAGTCCTGCAGAAAGGGATCTGGGGGTCATAGTGGATCTCAAACTAAATCTCAAACTCAGTGGATCTCAAACTAATGCTGTTGCAAAAAAAAAGCAAATGTCATACTGGAGTGTAGTAAGCAAGACACGAGAAGTAATTCTTCTACTCTACTCCGCGCTGATTAGGCCTCAACTGGAGTATTGTGTCCAGTTCTGGATGCCACATTTCAGGAAGGATGTGGACAAATTGGAGAAAGTCCAGAGAAGAGCAACAAAAACGATTAAAGGTCTAGAAAACATGACCTATGAGGGAAGACTGGGGGAAAAAAATTGGGTTTGTTTAGTCTGGAGAAGAGAAGGCTGAGAGGGGACATAACAGTTTTCAAGTACATAAAAGGTGGTTACGAGGAGGAGGAAGAAAAAATTGTTCTTAACCTCTGAGGATAGGACAAGAAGCAATGGGCTTAAATTGCAGCAAGGACGGTTTAGGTTGGATATTAGGAAAAGCTTCCTAACTGTGGTTAAGCACTGGAATAAATTGCCAAGGGAGGCTGTGGAATCTCCGTCATTGGGAATTTTTAAGAGCAGGTTGGACAAACACCTGTCAGGGGTTGTCTAGAATATTTAGTCCTGCCTTGAGTGCAGGGGACAGGATTAGAGGACCTCTGGCGGTCCCTTCCAGTTCTGTGATTCACAAGTGCAATCAGGTACATAAATTTCTAAATGTAAACAATGGGCCTGGAAAATTTCATGTGCAAACAGAGATGCATGGTGAAGGCAAGGATGCAAAATCAGATCCTTTATAAATCACTTAAATCTTTTTTTTTTTTGGTCTTTTGTTATAAACTCTTATGTAAGATTAATAGAATTGAAAGAAATTGGCTATTTTTTTTTCCAATTTGCTTACCTTGTCCATTTGACAGCACATTGTATACAGTCAGTTTCACACACCCTCACCCCACCTCACGCCATAGTTAGCTTGGCAGTTATCCCCTTTTGTTAATGTGGGTCTTTGACACAAAACTGGGGAGGGGAAGAAACATTTTAAAAAACAGGAAAGTGCAACTGTAAAATGACCGATATTAGCCAGGAACCCAAGGGCACATAATGTATGTGACAATATTTTGACTCATTTTAAAAATTAATTGGACTTCAAGGGTAAATTTTTCATAAGCACCTAAATGATTTGGGAATAGACTTTCTGTAGGGCCTATGTTCCCAAATTGTAGGCACTTTTGCAAATCTTACCTCAAAATGCCAGTATTCCTGTAAGATTTTTCACTTCAAGAATCCTTTGGAAATTTCTTTTTTTAAACAAAACTAATCTCATTAACTTCATTATAAGAGAAGCATTTTTTGTTAATTACCTGTGAATTTTGTCTTTCAGGCAAACTCTTGGATGCAACAGGCAGGTATATGTTTGTTTTTATTATTGCTGGAGTTGAAGTTGTTACTTCAGCCCTTGTGCTGGCTTTAGGAAACTTCTTCTGTGTTAAGAAAAAATCAGAAGAGCCACAAACAAAAGAGGAGGCAGCAGAAAGAGAAGAGTTAAACAAATCCGAAGACAAAACACCTGAAGATGCCAAGGTGGACTCTATTGAAGTAGAACAATTTCTGAAAGATGAACCTGAAAAAAATGGGGAAGTTGTAACTAACCCAGAAACGTGTGTGTGAGTGACACAGGATGAGTGGCAAAGCATTTAGGGAAGAGTGAAAGAATTTCAACACTATTTATTTTAGAAACTGAACTAGTTTAGGGCTGGGCCATCTGCTTGACCAACTGGGGGCCAATCAGCTAATCAAATCACTGTTTGGAAGCTTTGTTAGGAATTCTTTTCACCTAAAACTGGATTTATCAGTGAGATGTGGAGCTCTGCTTGTATAACATTTTAAGTAAACTAAGCAGCCTTTGTAACCACATGTAGAAATCCTGCTATGCATCACCAGAAAATTCTCACTTGGAAGGAAATATATTTTGTATTAGAGAGGAATTATATGAACATTTTCATTCAGTGGGGTGAAATTAATTGTGTTTTTGTGGTGCAATTAAATGTAACTTCCCTTTCTGTGTTCTTTCTCAAGGAGAAAGAATGTGATATGGGGCGGGGTGGGGGGGGGGGAATTCTCAGGAACTTATTGGTCTCCAGTAGGTTTTTGAAACATCTTACTTTTACTGTTTTTTAGATTTTTTTTTTTCCTTTGGCTCAGCCCTAATCTAAGTTGGATAATAAGAATAATATCTATTACATTTACTTAAAACAAAGTATTTCTGAATTTTAGCTAAACTCAATTTTATTAATTGGGATTTTTATTATAAATACTGTACACTGAAAGGCACTCAGAGACCCTGTTCTTAACAAATCACATAACTGCTATTCCTAAATAGCACCTAAAGAAAATGAAACAAGCAGTATTAATCCTTACATAGGCTGTAAAGAAAACAAGGTAAGCCTATGTGCACTGCTGTAACTATTGTGCTGACACATGCAGGCATCTGCTTCTGAAATTGGTTGAAAAGTCTGACAACTTTAGCAGCTGTTACGTCCTGTGCTATTAGATGTCAGCATGAGATTGACTCCTCACTTTTGTACAGCAATATGCTGACTTTACTAGTATTTAGGGTATGTGAAGAAGCAGAGCACTAAAAATTAATTAAGAGTAACTCCCTGAGTTACTCTTTTCATTCTGTAATGCTGTTAGGGGAAAAATCTATCTGATATCATCCCTGTATATAGTCTCACTGACTTTAATAGAACTAATTGAATAAGTAAGGTGAGCAGGATTTGGCCCTATGCCTGAATTACACCCCTTTTTGACCTGATTGGTTCAATTAAAAATTTGGAGTCTAGCAGGTTATTTCAATTCAGAGCCAAAATTGGTGATGGAGTCAGGTGGTTCACTTGATGCAATCTTTTATTTACAAAGAATGTACAAAGTCCTGTTTCCTTAAATGAAGCAGGACTCAAACAATAAGAGACAATGTCCCTGCTTACAAGTCTAAGCCACATTTCCAATCACTTAGCCCAAAAGCGCTCTCTCTCTCTGGCCTGGTCTACTCTTAAAATTTAGGTCGACATGGCTATGTCACTTTGGGAGGTGGGAAGATATCCACTTCCCTGAGCAACATAGTTATGCCAGCCTAACCTCCTACTATAGAAGCATCTAGGTTGACAAAACAGTTCTTCTGTCAGTCTAGCTATGGTTGCTCAGGGAGGTGGTGCTCCTATAGTGGAGAGAGGGGGACTTTTTGTCACTGTAGCTATGCTATAGGGTTATGCCAGCATGGCTGGCGCACCATAGCTATGTTGATATAGTTACTACAGTGTAAACTTGGCCTTAGCTTTTCTGAATACCACACTCCCAGAGCTTGTTCTGTCTCTGTCCTTGGCTTTTTTGCCCTGGGACCTGCTGTTTGGTGTGTGCTCCTCTTGCGCCTAAAAACACCCCAAATAGACACACACACACACAGTCCCACCAATCAATGCCCTAGACCCTGCATTTGCTATAAAAGTCCCAGGAAACTCCTCAGACCACATGGCATAGCTTCCTCTTAGCTATTCTTACCATACAGGTCAGTGTTTTGGACAGTGGCCTCTAGTGTTTCAGCTGTTATTAAACAAAGAAGCAACGTTCTGTGTTGGTCATAGAAGTAATGGAATCTGTGATTTTTCCATGACCCCTGTGACTTCTGCAGTGGCCAGTGTGGCTCGCCCTAGGGCTGCTCAAGCAGTTAGCTCCAGGGTCTGCTGCTCAGGTAGCCCTGGAGACAGCCACACCAGCCACTGCTGAAACAGCTCCACAACCAGGCACTCAGGTGGTCCTAGGGCCAGCCACTGCTTGGACTGCCCCGGGCAGCTGGCCCTGGGGACCACCTGAGCAGCAGCCAGTGCAGCTGGCCCTGGGGACCATGTGAGCAGTGAAGCAGCCACTGTCAGAACACTGAGCAACAGCCCCCTGAGACACCTCCCCACAGCGGGTCCTCCCCCTGGGTCCCCGTCTCCACCCCCCCCCCAGCAGCAGCAGCCGCCCCCCGCCCCCCCCCCCGAGCTCTCCTTCTAGCAGTGCCTGCTCCCCAAGATTTAGTCATGTGTATAAGTCATGAACAGGTCATGGGCTGTAAATTTTTCTTTATTGCCTGTGAACTGTCCATGATTTGTACTAAAGATACCCATGTCTAAATCATAGCCTTATGCAGAACACTTTTTTTTTAATATGAATAAAGAGAATCCTTCAAATATATTATGAAAATAGTGTTGGGGAAAAGAGAAGCTGCAGAGTATGTGCCCATATGCACACAAGTCTAGTCTCTTGTGGGTTGTAACACTTTTGTGTCTCATTTCAGCTGCGTTTAGTGGGCAGTTGCTGGGTGGTGGTGGTGGCCTTTGCTATCGTAGAATATCAGAGTTGGAAGGGACCTCAGGAGGTCATCCAGTCCAACCCCCTGCTCAAAGCAGGACCAATCCCCAAATAAATCATCCCAGCCAGGGCTTTGTCAAGCTATACAGGAGGACAACCTAGATCAGTGACTCTCAACCTTTCCAGACTATTGTACCCCTTTCACGCATCTGATTTGTCTCGCATACCCCCAAGTTACCCTTCACTTAAAAACTACTTGCTTACAAAATCAGACATAAAAATACAAAACTGTCACCGTACACTATTACTGAAAAACTGGTTACGGTCTCATTTTTACCATATAATTGTAAAATAAAGCAATTGGAATATAAATATTTTATTTACATTTTGGTGTATAGTATATTGCCCAGTATAAACATGTCATTGTCTGTATGAAATTTTAGTTTGTTCTGACTTCGCTAGTGCTTTTTATGTAGTCTGTTGTAAAACTAGGCAAATATCTAGACCTCTGTGGACCCTCAGGGGCACATGTATCCCTGGTTGAGAATCACAGAATATTAGGGTTGGAAGAGACCTTAGGAGGTCTAGTTCAATCCCCTGCTCAAAGCAGGACCAACACCCACTAAATCAACCCAGCCAGGGCTTTGTCAAGACATGGGAAAGGGGAAAATGTTCCCTTAGAGCCATTACATCTTGAAAAACTAACCCAGTATTATATTTACTATAAATTGACAATAAATCTCTTTATAAAAACACTTACTCTGAAATGCTACTTCTGTTTTAACTTCCACATGCTATAGGTCCAACTTTTTAAAGTTGGAACATGAGGTGTAGCCCTTAACTACTTCACTGGGGGGGCACAGTGCCTCAATAGTAGCACAAGACCTCAATGTGGTCAACTTATGTAACCTTTATGTGATTGAATTCAGTAGCCCACCATATATTCACAATGTATTTTTATAACATTCCATGATTAGCAAATCTTAAGGGCATAGGAGACAGGGTCTTGCAGACTAGCACATCTTATACTTTGAAAAATAATATATTTTTTTAACTCACAAATTTCAGAGAAACCAATACTTCTTTTTTGCATCCCAAAATATTTGAACAATTATAATTTCTCTGGCTCTATGGTTTGGGAACATATTTAACTGGTTTATGGGGGAAAACCGTCTGAATATACAGATGCAAAATCTAAGTGCAATATTGTAGAAGTAGAGGAGTTTACATTGCTTTCTTTGAAAATAATGAGGAATAGAAAAAAAAACTTGCTCTTTTGGTGTACAATATACAGTACATTATAATTTAAGGTTTTTTTTCACCTTTGTATCTTCTGTATATTGTTTACAATAGAGATTACGGTTAAATATTTTAGATTGGATTTTGTCTTGATCTTGGGCCCTTCAATTATTTCCTTATGCAAGAAATACAGTGTATCTATATAGGTTTGTGTGTGTGCATGTGCACACAAACCTAACCTATGCAAACCCAAAGTAAAGTGGAGGAGCAGCGGCCAGTTACATTCTATATTTTTCAAGGTGAAGTGAGGAGTTACCAAGGCTGCATTGCCACCTCCTATGCAACAGCAAGTATTAATTACTTTTAATTCTAGTTCTAAATAAAAACATAACATAATGTATCCACTTGGAGGCAATACAAGAAAACTAATTGAACCAAACATCTTTAAATAATGCAACAGTCCTTTAAAATAGTGAGCAGGAGCCTTGTTTTTCCTTCTTATAAATACTGTAGCAACAGAATCAACATTAGCTGCTAGTAAATTAGCCAGCTCTCCTAGAGCTGAGAATGAGGGATGTCTAGCATCTAGGACTGGAAAATCCTAACTGTCAGTAATGTTAATATATATTAAACCCTATCGAAGCAACAAACAAAACCATCCCACTCTTGTAGAGTGTATGTGAATTCTTTCTAAAAGAAACAAACCTCCATCGCACTCAAGCATATGCCTTTTTATTTCCCAAAAAGCAGCTTTAGTTTAAGGCCAGGCTGTGGTGATGGAGGGTTTCCAGAAGAACAAAGCTCTTGTACGCTACAAAAATTGTAAGTGCAGAATTTTTGTGTCTGTTTTATTTGTGTTGGGAGGGGAGCATGCATGTCAGTTTCACGCAAGTAAGATCACTTTTTGTCCCTGCTTTTTAGTAAATGCACTTTAATGTAAGATGTGTGGATTTATATTTATATTTGTTTTATGCTTTTATAGTCAACTGTTGCAAATGTAGTGAATAAATATTTATTCTGTTGTCAATGTTATGGTGTCAGAAAATAAGCTATGGAAAATTAGCTACCTTGAGTGAGGAGTTTCTTTGATACTCAGGTTTACAACTTATGGGGCCTGTTGGCTGTTCATTTGCTGCTGGATACTGCCTATAGCATCATAGGAATAGAATGCTTGTCCTCATCTGCACTTAACTACTAGGTAACAACGTTTTATTTTGGAAATGGGGACCTCAGCACAGTGGTCCAGATCTTTGTCACCTTCCAATTTAATGACAGAATGCACGTTAGATGGGACTACACCTTAAGACCATTTGGAACCTGGAGCTAGTATAGAATATGGCAGTTCTTTCAGAGTAGCTGGTCCCTTCAAGGAAACTGGACTCGGTTCTCCTGTTCCACTCTAGGTACTCCATATCTGGGCCAATTAAAAGAGCAGGACAGCAGCAGGAAGCTGTAAGAGGCCTGGAGAGTCAGTCAGGAGACCACAAACTGACTCAGAGGAGACAGAACAGGAGATCAGAGTGATCACAGAGAGATGGTTCCTGGGAAAGGGCAGCAAAGCAAGAGAGCCAGGGTGGGAGGACTAAAGACAGGTGGAGCCGCAGGAGATTCCTGCTGGCTCCAGGCTGGAGACCTGGAGCCGAGGGCGGGAGAGGGTTGAAGGCAGGGGGACAGCAGTGGGCCTTACTTGCTGGCATGTCCTTGGTGGTGAGCTGTGCCCGAGAGGAATAATAGGAGGTGCCTAGCAGAGAGGCTGCATGAGCTCCTGTTGGGAAGAGCAGCATTGTATTCCAGAAGGAAGGGCTCAGGGCAGCAGTCTTGGCAGAGGGATAGAGGCGGACTGAGTAAGAGTCCAGGCATGGTGGAAGACACTGGCATTTGGTACGTTCTCTGTTGATGGACTAGAAAAGACTACATGCACTGGGAGGAGATTTGATTATGTTGTGGAACTTTTGGTTATGGACTTTTGCAATCTTTCATTATGTTGATAAACTTGAGGACATGCTGGCATAGAGACCTTTAGATTATCCAAAAGGGAAACTGAGGTAAGGGGCCATTTGCAGGGCTGTCCTGAAGCTACATGGGAGCACCCAGGAGGAGGCCACACATTTTCACAGTGCTTTCTGTAGAGAGCATGTTAAGCTTGTAAGCTGTAGTCAGCATTGGCTTCCAGTTCGTTTCCAGGTGATGTTTTAAGGAACTGCCTTTGACCTATGAGGCCCAAAGTGTTTTGACTGTTTGGCTGCCATAGGGACCTGTTGCTATCCTCATATGATACTCTGATGATTGCAATCAGATGGATTGATCAAACAAACATCCTCTAGATTTAAATGGGAGGGGATAGTACTGGAGATTCCCAGTTGAGGAAGCCTCAGTTCTGAAAACTACTTATCCCTCCTGCTCCAAAGGAGTCCAGATTCACTGGGCTTCAGGGCATGTTCCAAAGCCTATCTGTTCTCACAAGCTTTTCCTGTGAGGAAACTGGGATAGCAGGAGAGGGAAAGTGTTTGTTTTATTTTTGGTAGATTGAGGCATTGTGTCTTTGGCTGAGGTTCTGTGCTGTGTCTCAAAGGGGGGTAGCCCAAGGAGAGGAGGGCAAAGGGGTTTTAGAGCTACTTTTGTGCCTTCCTAATCATGGGTTCTGCAAGGACCACATCATCTTCTGGTGTAACTTAAGCCACTGTGAGGACAGGCTGCTTTAAGTTACAGTACCCTCCCCAAGGCTGCCTACAGCTTGCAGTGCAAGAAAGAATGACTGCAATGGTGTGAGTTACAGCCCAACAACATCCCCACCACCCCATCCTCTGCCCTCAGGTCCACTCTAGCATGCATCCTATGCCCAGGGTCATCAGGAAGCAGCAAAAAAAAAATGGTACACAGAGGCCAGAGTGGGCAGGGGTGTGGGGGTGTTAGAAGCAAATTCTCTATGTGGATATGGCCTATAATTAAGTTTGTATATATTTTTAAGCGAACGCGTACTTCTGTATAGATAGCGACTGACTAGTTTTTCAGACCGCATCATTAGGTGGCTGCTGAAGAACATTAAAATGTGTTCACCAAGAGATTATAATAATACAGTCTGGACCAAGATTTTATATCTTGATTTGCTGCAACTCTGAATAAGCTTCCCAAACCTGAAGAAGAGCTCTGTGTAGTGTGAAAGCTTGTGTGTCTCCAACAGAAGTTGGTCCAGTAGAAGATATTACCTCACCCACCTTATCTCAGGTCACAAAACGTAATGATAAATGGGGAATCATCATCATCAAGCCTGTGTGTTTCTAGTGGACTTCCACAGAGATCCATTCTCGGCCTTTGGCTATTTCATATTTTTATCAGTGACTTGGATGAAAACTTTGATAACATTTGAAGATAACACAAAAATGGGAGAGTGTTAACCAATGAGGAGGACATGTCACTGATGCAGTGAGCTGGATCACTTGGTAAGCTGGGCGCAGGTAGACACTGTGTTTTCATACAGCCAAATGTATACATATAAAAGCAAAGAATGTAGGCCATGCTTACAGGAAAGGGGATCTCTGTCCTGGGAAGGAGACACACTGAAAAAGATTGAAAATTTTGATGGATAAGCAGCTGAACAGGAGCACCTAGTGTGACACAGGCTAATGCAATCTTTGGATGTATAAATGGGGAATCTCAAGTAGGAATAGGGAGGTTATATTACCTCTGTATTTGGCACTGGAATGTTGGTAAATTGGAGCTGGTTCAGAGAGAAGCCACAAGATTGACTAAAAGATTGGAAAACATGCCTTATGAAAGGCTCATGCTCAAAGAGATCACTCAATTTAGCTTTTTAAAGCAAAGGTTTAAGTGTGATTTGATCCCGATTTATATGTGCCTATATGGGGAACAAAATTTTAATCTTGGGCTTTCAATCTAACAGAGAAAAGATATAAGAAGATCCAACAAGGCATAAGTGGAAGCTAGACAAATTCTGACAAGAAATAAAGTGCCATATTTTAACAGTGAGGGTAATGAGAAAAATTTAGGGAAAAAACCAACTTACCCATAGTCACATACTCCTGGCTCCTGGTCTTGTTGCCCTGCTGCCTACTGCATCATCTTTCCTTACCAACATGTCAGTTGGATACCTCACCTTTACCCCCAGAGCCCTGCCAGGGGTGGTGATGGGGTAAGAATTGGGCATATTTGTTGCTGTTCTGCCTCCCCTTTTTTCTGTGTGCAATCTCTGAGTTGGATGGGAAGCTGCTGCCCTTGAAACGCTCCTCAGAAAGCCAAAAGAAAACGTTGGGTTTAGTGGTTTTGAGAAAACCTTGAAGCCAACAAACAAGTTTATTTTACAAAAGATTTTTAAATCATATGGAAAACTCCTCTGCAAAGGGAGCCCTGGACTCTGCCATCAGCACAGTTTTGGAGACAGAGAATTCTGGAAGGTTTTTTCCCTGAAGGGTGTCCTAAGCCTAGGCTCAGAACAGGCCTGGACAGTATGGAACACCTACTTATGGACAGTAGGAATACCTCATTGTGAAGCCTAACACCTAGGCACAGAGAAGTAAAGTACATGGATGGAGATATTACAGCTGTAAAGTCTATACTGGAGATTATAGGTAGAAGGTTCTCCTTGTACAGTGTGAGCACAGAAATTACCATACGAGTTCAGACCATCTGTCTAGTTCAGCTTGTCTAAAAGTGACCAGTGCTAACATTCTTCAGAGGATGGTATAGGTCCATGGGGAATTTCTTCCTAACCCTGACAGTTAGTTGTTAACGTATGTCACGCAGCAGGATGACAAAATTAGTCTAAGGATACAGTTACATTAGAGAGTTCACAGGGGCACTCCTGCACTGATGCAGCTATGTAAGCTCTCTAATGTAGCTGCTCTATGCCAATGGGAGAGAGCTCTCCTGTTGATATAGTGCTGTCCACACCAATGCTTATGTTGTAAATTATGTTGCTCAGAGTGATTTATTTACCCCACTTCTACCCCCAAGCATCATAGGCTATGTCGGCATAACTTAAGTGTATGTCCACACTATAACTTATCTAAGGTATCTGAAAGCACATGTAACATTTAAAGTCTTTCATAAAGCTGCATGCATAGAAGGGGCAATGAAAAGTGTGCATGCAACTTAACACTAACAGGGCCTAACTTGAGTACTTAACTGTGCATCTTTAGGCAACAGTCCTGCATTGGCATCTGCTAGTGGTATCCATGGGACTCTACAGAACTAGGGTCTGCACTAATGGATGCTGATAGAAGCTGAAGTCTTTTAATGTTCTCTTAATACAAGGCTGTGGTATGGATATGGAGCAAGAGCTCATTCAGTATTTCACAGTGATTGTAATTCCAGTGATTATTTGTTACTACTTTTGTAAAAATAGAAATTGAAATTTTACTGGTTAATTTAATAATGGGCATACTATGTTTCCTAGTAGCAAAACACTCTGGAGCCTTAATATCAATTTGTCTAAATCCATAAATTCTGGAACCTAATTTCTGTTGTAGGACTAAGTTCTTGTTGAGTTATGCTTCCCTCAAATTAGGTTAAATCTAGATTTTTGTTTATATTGAGTAGCTCGCTATATCGCTGAACACTATTAATATTAGATAGCTGTCAATGTTTTCTGTTTTCCCACAGATAATTTTAGTATTGAATGAGTGTGAAGCAGATAGCAGCAGTGCAGATGGCAAAGGAAGGATCTGTTATAAAGCTAAGGGACAGTTTAAAAAAAAATTGTGAACAGTTCAAGCTCTGTTGCTCAGTCAAAATAATTTTGAATTCTCTAAATCTCAGCTAAAGTTTAAAACTTTTTATTAAATGTGGGAGAAAACACGTTGTTAGAATCACCTTATTTTTACTAGCAACATTCTTGTATTGGAGAGGTGGCATAACAAGAAAAATCTAGTTTTGTTTAAAACATTTAATGTGATATGACATTTATTCGCTATATACAACCACTACAACCATCTATTTAAAGTTTTGTTCAGTCAGGAAGAGATTATGATGCCCACCAGTTTGATATTTTCAAAACAGTAGTAGCAATCAGTATTGGAAAAGTTATTTGATATCTAAATTTTATACTGGGCTTTTCCCACAGAGGGCTGCTGAACATGGAATGCATAGCTTGAAGCAACTGTGTGCTGATGAAACCAGAAAACGGGAATTCTACAGTTTTGTCAGCCTACAGCCATGCAATAAGGGCTATATGATTTTTGTTTTAAATGGGTGGTGACAGTTTACTACTTTCCCTATGCCAATTTAAAATTCACTGTCCTATAGTGAGAGTCCAGGTGCACCAATGTAACTACATAAAAGTGTTGAGAAAGAGAGGAAGTGAAGTTTGAAGAGATATGTCCTCACCTCTTCTGCAAGCGCTACATACATACATGGAAAAAACAACCAAGGCCTTGTCTACACCGTACAGTTTTATTGATAAAAGTCCACTTTTTGTTGACAAAAAAGTGGAAGTTACACAATGAAATACTCCCCCTGCCCATGTAACTCCTCTGCTATGCAGCCATAATAAAATCACCTTAACAAGAGGTGTGGGGGTTATGTTGGTGTACTTAGGACAACACAGTGTCTGTAAACAGTGCATTCCTTACATAGGCTGTTAGTTGTCATTCTTTTCAATTCCACTGCAAGCCATGAAAAGGACAGGAAAGCTGGGTGCCTAGAGCCAGTCCCTGCCCCCATAGCCCAAGTATTTAACCTGGCCAAATGTTAGAAACAGGAAATTCATAGATAAGGTTGAATTTCTTAAACAAGTCTCTTACCTACTGTACATTCTGCCACAAAAGTGATGGTCTTGACAAAATTAGAAAATCATTGTTAGCCCGCCTCATCAAAGTTTAATTATTTTAAGTGACCCCCAACTATTAGACTGTCTTAGCATATAATGGTGCTATCACTGTATAGCCTTCTTTACATTAATATGCAATGAACAATAATATTTACAAACTCCCAAATGAACAAATCCCTATTAAATACAATCACTACCCATTCACAGCCCAATCCTGCCAGGCCCTTCTCTTAGGATTGTATATCACATGCTTCAATGCCACATGCAGCCAATTCTTCATGTGTCTCCATCTGTTTCCATGAAGCCCAGATGCTGATGTGACAGCTGTCGCAATGCCATGCAGTATCTTTGGGGGCCACTATTAAATTTATGAAGGTTTTGTTCTACTCCATGAAGGAGATTTCATAGAATATTAGGGTTGGAAGAGACCTCAGGCAGTCATCTAGTCCAACCCCCTGCTCAAAGCAGGACCAACACCCACTAAATCATCCTTGCCAGGGCTTTGTCAAGCCGGGCCTTAAAAACCTCTGAGGATGGAGATTCCACCACCTCCCTAGGTAGCCCATTCCAGTCCTTCACCACCCTCCTAGTGACATAGCGTTTCCTGATATCCAACCTAGGCCTCCCCCACTACACCGTGAGACTATTGCTCCTTGTTCAGTCATCTGCCACCACTGAGAACAGCCTAGCTCCATCCTCTTTAGAACCCCTCCCCCCCTTTCAGGTAGTTGAAGGCTGCTATCAAATCTCCCCTCACTCTTCTCTTCTGTAGACTAAATAACCCCAGTTCCCTCAGCCTCTCCTCATAAGTCATGTGCCCAAGCCCTCTAATAATTTTCATTGCCCTCTGCTAGACTCTCTCGAATTTGTCCACATCCCTTCTGTAGTGGGGGGGACCAAAACTGGACACAGTACTCCAGGGGTGGCCTTACCAGTGCCGAATAGAGGGGAATAATCACATCCCTCTAGCTGCTGGCAATGCTCCTACTAATACAGCCCACCTAATATGCTGTTGGCCTTCTTGGCAACCAGGGCACACTGCTGACTCATATCCAGCTTCTTGTCCACGGTAATCCCCAGGTCCTTTTCTGCAGAACTGCTGCTTAGCTAGTCGGTCCCCAGCCTGCAGCAGTGAATGGGATTCTTCCTAAGTGCAGGACTCTGCATTTGTCCTTGTTGAACCTCATCTGATTTCTTTTAGCCCAATCCTCCAATTTGTCTAGATCACTCTGGACCCTATCCCTACCCTCCAGTGTATCTACCTCTCCCCCCAGCTTAGTGTCATCTGCAAACTTGCTGAGGGTGCAATTCATCCCATCATCCAGATCATAAATAAAGATGTTGAACAAAACCAGCCCCAGGACCGACCCCCCTGGGACACTCTGTTTGATACCGGTTGCCAACTGGACATCAAGCCATTGAGTACTACCCCTTTAGGCCAACAATCTAGCCAGCTTTCTGTCCAACTTATAGGCTATTCATCCAATCCATACTTTTTTAACTTGATGGCAAGAATACTGTGGGAGACCGTCTCAAAAGCTTTGCTAGTCAAGATGTATCACATCCACCGCTTTCCCCATATCCACAGAGCCAGTTATCTCACCAAAGAAGGCCACTGTTATAAAAAGCCAGTCAGCTGCAAACCAGCTGAACAGCAAACAGGAGAGAGGCTAACAGAGGGAGTTTGCCTGGGAGTTCCCCTGGGGAGAGCCCACTGGGGCTTACATCTTGCCAGCTTCTCTGAGTAGTTACTACAACTCCTGAGAAAGCTCGTAGAAGGAAGGTAATATGGTTGGGGAGCGTTCAGCTATTGTGACCTGCACTGGATGTGCCATGTTTGTCTTTCTTCCACAGGACAGAAGCAACTTTGTCTGTACAAAGTGCAACCTGGTCTCCATATTGGAAGAGAAGGTTCAAGGTCTGGAGAAACAAGTATCGACCCTGTGTTGCATAAGAGAAACTGAAGATTTCCTGGACAGACATCAGGATATGCTTCTACGGGCACAATGTTCTGAAGATTCAGAGCAGGCTGCACTGCGGGGACAGGAGGACGGTGAAGAAATTTGGCAGCATGTGACCTCCAGAAGAAGAAAGGGGACTGTCCATGTACCAGCAGCGCAGATTCAGGTAAGCAACCGTTCTCATGTTCTCCACAGGTACTAATGCGGAGAGTGGACTAGATGATACATCTGAGGGAAGGGAACAGAAGGAGACTCCACCGATTGGAAGGCATGAGATGCACTGTCCTAGGGATGGGGGTTCCATGACCACCGCTCCGAAGAGGAGGAGGCGGGTGGTTGGTGGTCGGGGACTCGCTCCTAAGGGGGACTGAGTCATCTATCTGCCACCCCGACCGGGAAAACTGAGAAGTCTGCTGCTTGCCAGGAGCTAGGATTCACGATGTGATGGAGAGACTGCCGAGACTTATCAAGCCCTTGGATCGCTACCCCTTCCTACTTCTCCATATGGGCACCAATGATACTGCCAGGAATGACCTTACTGCGGACTACGTGGCTCTGGGAAGAAGGATAAGGGAGTTTGAGGCACAAGTGGTGTTTTTGTCCATCCTCCCCGTAAAAGGAAAAGGCCTGGATAGAGACCGTCGAATCGTGGAAGTCAACGAATGGCTACGCAGGTGGTGTCAGAGAGAAGGCTTTGGATTTTTTGACCATGGGATGGTGTTCCAAGAAGGAGTGGTAGGCAGAGATGGGCTCCACCTAATGAAGAGAGGGAAGAGCATCTTTGGAAGCAGGCTGGCTAACCTAGGGAGGAGGGCTTTAAACTAGGTTCACCGGGGGAAGGAGACCAAAGCCCTGAGGTAGGTGGAGACCTGGGATACCGGGAGGAAGCACAAGCAGGAGAACATAAAAGGGGGGGCTCCTGCCTCATACTAAGAAAGCAGGATGATCAGCAAGTTATCTCAAGTGCCTATACACAAATGCAAGAAGCCTGGGAAACAAGCAGGGAGAACTGGAAGTCCTGGCACAGTCAAGGAATTTTGATGTGATTGGAATAACAGAGACTTGGTGGGATAACTCACATGACTGGAGTACTGTCATGGATGGATATAAACTGTGTTCAGGAAGGACAAGCAAGGCAGAAAAGGTGTGGGAGTTGCATTGTATGTAAGAGAGCAGTATGACTGCTCAGAGCTCCGGTATGAAACTGCAGAAAAACCAGAGTGTCTCTGGATTAAGTTTAGAAGCGTGAGCAAAAAGGGTGATGTCGTGGTATGAGTCTGCTATAGACCACCGGATCAGGGGATGAGGTGGACAAGGCTTTCTTCCAGCAACTAATGGAAGTTACTAGATCACAGGCCCTGGTTCTCATGGGAGACTTCAGTCACCTTGATATCTGCTGGGAGAGCAATACAGCAGTGCACAGACAATCCAGGAAGTTTTTGGGAAGTGTAGGGGACAATTTCCTGGTGCAAATGCTGGAGGAACCAACTAGGGGCAGAGCTCTTCTTGACCTGCTCCTCACAAACCAGGAAGAATTAGTAGAGGAAGCAAAAGTGGATGGGAACCTGGGAGGCAGTGAACATGAGATGGTCGAGTTCAGGATCCTGACACAGGGAAGAAAGGAGAGCAGCAGAATATGGACCCTGGACTTCAGAAAAGCAGATTTTGACAACCTCAGGAAACTGATGGGCAGGATTCCCTGGGAGAATAACAGGAGGGGGAAAGGAGTCCAGGAGAGCTGGCTGTATTTTAAAGAATCCTTATTGAGGTTACAGGGACAAAGCATCCGGGTATGTAGAAAGAATAGTAAATATGGCAGGCGACCAGCTTGGCTTAACAATGAAATTCTTGCTGATCTTAAACACAAAAAAGAAGCTAACAAGAAGTGGAAGATTGGACAAATGACCAGGGAAGAGTATCAAAATATTGATCGGGCATGCAGGAGTGAAATGGGGAAGGCCAAATCACATCTGGAGATGCAGCTAGCAAGAGATGTTAAGAGTAACAGGAAGGGTTTCTTCAAGTATGTTAGCAACAAGAAGAAAGTCAAGGAAAGTGTGGGCCCCTTACTGAATGAGGGAGGCAACCTAGTGACAGAGGATGTGGGGAAAAAGCTAATGTACTCAATTGTTTTTTGCCTCTGTCTTCACGAACAAGGTCAGCTCCCAGACTGCTGCACTGGGCAGTACAGCATGGGGAGGAGGTGACCACCCCTCTGTGGAGAAAGAAGTGGTTCGGGACTATTTAGAAAAGCTGGACGAGCACAAGTCCATGGGGCCGGATGCGCTGCATCCGAGAGTGCTAAAGGAGTTGGCGGATGTGATTGCAGAGCCATTGGCCATTATCTTTGAAAACTCATGGCGATCGGGGGAGGTCCCGGATGACTGGAAAAAGGCTAATGTAGTGCCCATCTTTAAAAAAAGGGAAGAAGGAGGATCCTGGGAACTGCAGGCAAGTCAGCCTCACCTCAGTCCCTGGAAAAATCATGGAGCAAGTCCTCAAGGAATCAATTCTGAAGCACTTAGAGGAGAGGAATGTGATCAGGAACAGTCAGCATGGATTCACCAAGGGCAAGTCATGCCTGACTAATCTAATTGCCTTCGATGATGAGATAACTGGCCCTGTGGATGAGGGGAAAGCAGTGGACGTGTTGTTCCTTGACTTTAGCAATGCTTTTGACACAGTCTCCCACAGTATTCTTGCCAGTAAGTTAAAGGAGTATGGGCTGGATGAATGGACTACAAGGTGGATAGAAAGCTAGCTAGCTTGTCAGGCTCAACAGGTAGTGAGCAATGGCTCCATGTCTAGTTGGCAGCCGGTATCAAGTGGAGTGCCCCAAGGCTCAGTCCTTGGGCTGGTTTTGTTCAGTATCTTCATTTTAATGATCTGGAGGATGGTGTGGATTGCACCCTCAGCAAGTTTGCAGAGGACACTAAACTGGGATGAGAGGTAGATACGCTGGAGGGTAGGGATAGGATACAGGGGGACCTAGACAAATTGGAGGATTGGGCCAAAAGAAATCTGATGAGGTTCAACAAGGACAAGTGCAGAGTCCTGCACTTAAGAGGGAAGAATCCCATGCATCACTACAGACTAGGGACCAAATGGCTCGGCAGCAGTTCTTCAGAAAAGGACCTAGGCGTTACAGTCGACGAGAAGCTGGATATGAGTCAACAGTGGGCTGTTGTTGCCAGGAAGGCCAATGGCATTTTGGGATGTATGAGTAGGGGCATTGCCAGCAGATTGAGGGACATGATTGTTCCCCTCTATTCGACATTGGTGAGGCCTCATCTGGAGTACTGTGTCCAGTTTTGGGCCCCACACTACAAGAAGGATGTGGAAAAATTGGAAAATGTCCAGCAGAGGGCAACAAAATTGATTAGGGGACTGGAGCACAACTTATGAGGAGAGGCTGAGGGAACTGGGATTGTTTAGTCTGTGGAAGAAAGAGGGGGGATTTGATAGCTGCTTTCAACTACCTGAAAGGGGGTTCCAAAGAGGATGGATCTAGACTGTTCTCAGTGGTAGCAGATGACAGAAAGAGGAGTAATGGACTTAAGTTGCAGTGGGGGAGGTTTAGGTTGGATATTAGGAAAAACTTTTTCACTAGGAGGGTGGTGAAACCCTGGAATTCATTACCTAGGGAGGTGGTGGAATCTCCTTCCTTCAAAGTTTTTAAGGTCAGGCTTGACAAAGCCCTAGCTGGGATGATTTAGTTGGGGATTGGTCCTGCTTTGAGTAGGGGGTTGGACTAAATGACCTCCTGAGGTCCTTTCCAACCCTGCTATTCTATTAATCTATGATCAGGTTGGTCAGGCATGACTTGCTCTTGGTGAATCCATGTTGACTGTTCCTGATCACCACCTTCTCCTCCAGTGCTTCAAAATGGATTCCTTGAGGACCTGGTCCATGATTTTTCCAGGGGTTGAGGTGAGGCTGACCGATCTGTAGTTCCCTGTAGTCTCCCCTTTTTAAAAATATGGGCACTGTATTTGCCTTTTTCCAATAGTCCAGGACTGCCCCCACTCACCATTAATTTTCAAAGATAATGGCCAATGGCTCTGCAGTCCCATCAGCCAACTCCCTCAGAACCGTTGGATGCATTAGATCTGGACCCTTAACTTTGCTGTGTGTGTCTGTCTCTCACTTGGATAGCTGACGGGGAAAAAGTCACAATATGAATTGCAGTACTGCAACAACCTATTTTTAAGAACCTTGATACCCTATAAGAATCTGGGAACCCAGTTACCACTAGGTTTGGTTATGCTTGCTGTGTATATGGTGCCCAAGTCAATGCTCCAAAAAAAAAAAAAAAAAAGTCAAAGGAGATTGTTCCCCTTGAGTACTACATCTATGGCAAGGCTGGATTTTTTTTAAAAAATCATGCATTTCAACTATGAATGTGCAAAGTAAACACCATCTTTCCATGCTTTTGCAGAACATAATTAAGAATTCTTTCAAAAATGACACACATGACCTGAAGAAACTTGTGAATAATTATAATTTTGAAGATTAAATGCCAAAAAACAATGATTTGTAATAAATGTGCATCAGAACTAACATACATCCTATTAGGACTTTGCAGGCTTAAGTTCAATTCTCTGCACCACAGCAGACTTCCTGTGTGTGACCTTTGGAAGTCATTTAGCCTCTCTGCCTCATTTCCTCATCTGTAAAATGGGGGAAATACTTTTCTACCTCACAGGAGTGTTGCAAGGATAAATACCTTAAAGATGCATTTGCAGTCTACTGCTGAAAAGCTCTATCTAAGAGCTAGCTATTATTACTAGTGATATGAAATAAACATCCTCCATCTTTTCACCTAAAGCTCCTACAAGTCAGTTGTAAGTCTTACTGCTCAAAAGCAATTGTTTTCCCAAGCTTCATATCAATACAAGGTTATACTTGTTAACAAAAGCACAAATACCAAACATTTGCAAAAAGCTGCTCTTTATAAGTCTGTTTACTATATTTATAGTAAATAAATAATACTTTACCATTAGGGGAAAAAGACATTAATTTCAATGAGAAGAAATGGGCTACTACTATACAGTTAGGTCCTTATTTTCCTCATGGGCTACCTGTAGTTATTGGTTTATTACTCTTTTCCCCATCAACTTCATTGGATCAGGTACTAAGTGTTATATACGCTGGGCTAGGTCCTTA